GGGCCTTATGAGATTAAGAGTATGGAATAGAAGCGAGTTCCCAGACCTTGGAATGTTGCCATTTGAGGAAGTTTTATTTTTGAATAGCTTGCATAGTTAAAATTCCAAAGTACCTTTGGAATACTCCTTGTAATTATATTCTCTTTTTTTATTGTTAATAAACCCCTTCTCATTGAGAAGGAAATTCATTTGTAATAAAAGTATCCATTCGCATTTACCATTCTCATCCTACTGCCAAGGCAGTGAGGCAAAAAACCTGTTAGAGGCGCAAGCTTGACTCAGGCGCAACCACCTGATTGAACCCAAACCTATGGTTAGGCATGACGATGTAAACCAAAAGGGTAAAGGTCTAAGCCCGATTAGATCGGCAAGTTAGTGCGAACAGGATAACTTGCAAAATCATTGATCTCTAAGGATTAGATTATTTGCAAAACTTCATAGTTAAAATGTGTCTCTAGCAGGAGTGCTGGGACCTAGCTCTAAAGAAGGGCCGAGCAAGGCCAAAACTTTTGAGCAATGTGTTTTCTAAGTTAAAATGTGTCCCTAGCAGGATTGTTGGGACCTAGCTTTAAGGAAGGGCCGAGCAAGGCTAAAACTTTTGAGCAATATTTTTTCTAAGTTAAAATGTGTCTTTGCAGGATCGCTGGAACCTAGCTTTAAAGAAGGGCCGAGCAAGGCCAAAACTTTTGAGCAAAATTTTTCTTAGTTAAATGTGTCCCTAGCAAGAGTGCTAGGACCTAGCTTCAAAGAGGGGCCAAAAATGGCTAAAACTTTTGAGCAAATTTTTTCTAAAAATGTCCTTAGCAGGTCTAGACCTAGTTGTAAAGGACCTAATGAGGCCAAAACTGTTAAAAGTCTAGTCTTTCTAAAGTTAAGCAGTAGAGACATAAACAAAAGAAGATTTTTCATTAATGATTATCAAAAGGTGTTCTTCTTTACATGAGTTTTTCAGGGGGCAGAAGGGGTATCAGAAGAGCTAGGCATCAAATAACGCGAGTAGAGTTCAGATGAAGGAGGAACATTAGGAGCCTTTAAAGCAACAGCCCAGCCTTTTGCAAAATAAGCCTTTTCCAGTGTAGGGATCTATAGAGCAAGGTCACTTTTAGCTTTTTCCATTCTTTGATCAAAGGCGGCATCTTCGGGACTCTTCACCTCGGGCTTGAACTTGTCAAATTCTTCTAGTAAAGAGAAATGCTCAAGTTGAGTTTGTGACAGATCCAGGCTAAGGGAACTCTCAGAAGCCTTCAGAACCTCCACCTCTTTGGCCAGCTTATCATTCTTCTCTTTCAAGCTAAGAGATTGAGCTTAAAGGAGAAGCGTTTCTTCACAAAGCTTGGTGTATTCTTCATCAACAAATTCTTTCTTGGCCAGGGCAGAGATGAGGTCATGGATTGCCTCCTTCATAGCTCTATTCTTCCTTGCAATTCTGGCGCTCACCTCATGCACCTTTTGCAGCCCCTCTTTGGAATGTAAAAAAAAAATTTCTTTAAGTATACAGAATGAACCTAAGAAATGAAAGAACTTAAAAGTGAAGGAAATCAAGAAAAGTACCAGAACCATTTGTTGAATAGCTTGTCGAGCAATCTCGTCGTCTAAAGCCGCTTCATTCATTACAAGGTCACGTGGCAGAATCACGGCCCTAGCAATTCCTATTGCCACATTTATATCCTCAGCGATTGAGTCCCAAATAGTGATCTCCTTACCCTTTGCCTGAAGTATGGAGTGAAAGGCATTCATCAATCGTTCAAGAGATTCAAGTTGTCTCCTTTTCGGTAATTGCTCCTCGGGTTTAGTACCAGTGGACCAAGGAGAAAAAGTAATGACAAGAACAACATTCTCATCAGCAAAAGGCTCGGTAGAAGGAATCAGAGTGACAATGGGGGGATCAATTGCTAGGACTTTGGATTCTAATTCAGCAGGAAAATTGACTGCTGAAAGACCAGGAGCTTCAATGGTTGCTGGAAGATCGTTGGTGTTGGGGGCATGATCAGGACCAATTGTGAGGTCGATTGGTTGGGTAGACTGAGTTACTTCGGTGTGAACTGACAACACCGAAAAGGTAGCCTTGCTAGGTTCACTAGCATAAAGAAGACTGAGGAAATTCTTAACTGGTTTGTTCCATCTAGAGGGAGTAGTAGCTTTCTGGCGTGCACGAGGTGTGGCAACTCGCTTAGCGTGGAGCTCCGTTTGGTCTTCGACAAGAGTTGTGTTCGCCTAATCAGGTACAACAATGAATGAATGATATGTAGGGGTATATCCTAACAAAACGTGAGCAGCTAGGCAAAAGAGATTTTCATTATAGGACCACACCTTCCTCAGGTCCTCCATTTTTACCGAGCTCTCAACAATTTTGCCTTTGACAGTTTCTCCTAGATGTAAAAATAGGAGAATGTAAGGTATCTGTATTGTAAAAAAAAGGGGGGGTTCTTGGACACAAATTATCATATACCTAGCACACCTTCTTCATAAGGGCATCGATAAGGAGGAGTCTCTCCAGCTCTGTACTCCCAGTTCCCAGAGATGAATATGATATCTTTTTCGTAACCTTTGTTTGAGTCTAGGAGGTGGGTGACTAAGTATCTATCTTTCCTCCTCACTGCCAAGGAATAATTGTCACCGACAGTCTTCAAAATGTAGCAGAAAAGAATCTCCCAGAGGCCTAAGTTGACATTCAGAAGATTGTTCAAAGCTGTAACCCGCATAACGATCCTAAAAAAGTTAGGGTAGCAATGAATAGGGGCAAAGTTTTGTAGCTGCAAGGACCCAAAGCAGTAAGGGATGCATTGGGAACCTCACCCACCTTCGGTGATGGCACTTATGTAAACAGGGATTGATTCCCTAATTCCGATCATAGGTTCGTCACTACCCACAACCCGGATATCGACATCATTAGGGATACAGTATTTGCTTCTAAATGCTGGAACACCTTCGGGAGTAAAGGGAGCCATTGGAAGGTGGATGCAAAAAGAGTGAAAATAGAGGAACTTCGAGGGAATAGAGTGAAGAAGCAGACGAGAGGCAAAGTACAGAAGAAGTAAAATTGAAACATTTTATATTAAGGAAATAAGGAAGTCAAGAAACCAAAGTACGAGCATTCAATGAGAAGAGACAGTTGCATGTCTCAAAAACCCAGGCAATCATGAATCTGAGTACATGAAGCGTCTGCCAGACAAATGACGGCTGACATTCGCTTCATGGGGGCAAGTGAAGGGGCATAAAAGTTATGCCACGTGTAAATGGTCATGCAAGGGTCACGTAAGGGATTAATCCCTGCAGTGCTTGAGTTGAATTGACCAGGTCGACAGCAGAGCCGAGCAGACACTCCTCGATAAGGAAGATAAGAACCGAACAACATGATTGTAACCTATATTCAAGGGATCTGATTGTATCAATCTAAGCTATAATCAAGGGAGCGTTTGGGAAATCCTAAGGAGACTTAACAACTAATGCCGAATCATAGGGGGATGAGTAATCTTCTCCAAAACGATAAGGCAGCTGGAGTCTATAAAAACCAATAGAGGAGAATAGTAAAGGTACGCAATATCCTTCCAGAACACTATTCCATTCTCTTTTTCATTTACTGACTTAAGCATCAGGGTATTTTCAATCAAAACACTTTAATCTTAAGCAGTTTGTTCGTTTTGCAAGAATCTTGATCCTGTAGAATGATAATACAACTTTCTAGAAAATAAGAGAATTTTGTCCTCTTACATTAGTCTAAGCCTAAACTAAAGACCCTTGACTAATATAATAGAAGGTAAGGCAGTCAAGCCCTAAAATTAAACCTCGACATTAACTCATTGTCCACAAGTGGGTTGAAATTTCCAAATAACCCCATCAATCGTTGAAAGAACAACAATGGATTGTGATGACACCAGAAAAAGAAAAGCTTGGACAAAGAACACATCAGACTAAACATCAAAGTCATCACACGTCAGACTAACTTGCCCTTGGTCAAGTGGACAATCAAGGTAGGAGAGTTTGACATCAAATTCAATACACGCACATCAAACAAGGGCCAAATTCTTACCGACTTCATAGTAAAATTCGCCTTGCCTTTGGAACAAGCAACCCCACACAACAGAGAAGGTTTTCTGTCTGACGTCCCAATCTAAGAATTGTATATGGATGGGGGCTAAAACGTTCATGGAAGTGGAGCCAGTTTGATCCTGACCTCGCCCGAAGAGGTGGAACTTGTATATGCTTCAAGATTTGATTTCAAGACTTCCAACAATATGGTGAAGCCCATATAATTACACCATCAGGTTGTATATTTCAAAACCCTTGACACGTAAGACTTTAGACAGCATTTTCCCTCTTAATCGGCCAGACCTAGCTTGATTTACAACCCGGTAAAGGCCCGTTAAGATGAAACTGGTTGCCAAAGCATGGGCTGCTCGGTGGCCTGGCCCAACTCAGCCCGATGGGCACCGCTACCTTGATTCCTACATCCTCCACCTTGTTTCCCGACAGGTCGTACTCTAATCTCAAACTTAGCATTTAAATCAACCCGCAGAGATAGCAGCGTCATGCTGGTTTAGCTTAGAACGGACGGTGAGTTTTGACTATTGCTAGTGACTATCAAGTTTAACCGATACTTATGATTATCGAGAGATTTCGTGAATCCGAAATTTATTCTGTAAAGGAGTGCAACACTCCCTTGAATAGGTAGCTCATCATAAGAAAAATCCAGAGTAATGCACTGCTTTTGAAGAAATAGAAACCAAGCCCTACATACACAAAAACAAGCAAGCAAATGAAAAATTAGCATTTATGCTCCATCTAGCAAGCAAATGAAAGCAATGGAGGTAACATCCTGTCCCTAATAAGCTAAATACTTTCTACAAACATTGGCATTGGTCAAAAAATTAAAAAACAGAACCCAAAAAAAAAAAAATCTCGCCTTTTTCCAAATGCAGGGTCTGAAACAATTTTACAAACATTGTGTAAAATGAAACAGATGCAGCAAAAGAAACAAGCTACATCCCATTTCTGAACGCCTACGTTGAGCAGCACCCAACTCTCTTCATAGCAGAAACATCTTTACCAACATCAATTTTCTCTCCTTTGGGTGGAACAACAGCTGAAGCAGCTCCATTTTCACTGGTCTCCATGGCCTTCTTGCTCACAATGTGGTAGATCTGAGTAAGAACTTCAGCAAATGCATTGTCCACATTAGTAGCATCTAATGCGGAAGTTTCCATGAAGAAGAGAGACTCTCTCTCAGCAAAGGATTTCCCATCCTCGGTTGATACAGCAACAAGGTGTCGGAGATCTGATTTGTTACCAATGAGCATGACCACAATATTAGGATCCGTGTGATCTCTCAACTCCCTTAACCACCTTTCAACACTTTCAAATGTGGAATGCCGGGTGACATCATACACAAGCAGTGCTCCCACAGCACCTCGGTAGTAAGCACTAGTGATGGCACGGTACCTAAAGAACCAATGGGATAACATACAATAAAACTTGAAGCAAAACCAAAAAATATCTAACTTGATGGAAATGATACTTCAAGAAGTGAGCAGGTCTAGACAACATGGAAAAAGTCATTTAAATACGAAAGAAACAAATATTAATAATGAACTACACCGGATATGTACATGTGAACTAGAAAACATGTAGTCCATCAAATATTAAATTGGTTCAACCCCCAACGTGGCATCTTCTCTCTCTGTCCACAAAATAAGTGTCATTGCCATCACAGTGGTCACTTAATCTTGACATCAGCTTTAATGACTAGCTTCAATGATCGTTGTCCCACAAACCCACTACCTAAATTCACAATTTTCTGTAACTCACATTTGGAAATGGTCTTTCTCAATTTGATTTACCTATTCATCAACAACCCCAATTTCACTAAAATTCATCAGGAAAAAAGAAGCAGCCAAATTCCACTGAAATTCAATCCATTTAAGCAGCTCCACAACCCACGGCANCATTGTGTAAAATGAAACAGATGCAGCAAAAGAAACAAGCTACATCCCATTTCTGAACGCCTACGTTGAGCAGCACCCAACTCTCTTCATAGCAGAAACATCTTTACCAACATCAATTTTCTCTCCTTTGGGTGGAACAACAGCTGAAGCAGCTCCATTTTCACTGGTCTCCATGGCCTTCTTGCTCACAATGTGGTAGATCTGAGTAAGAACTTCAGCAAATGCATTGTCCACATTAGTAGCATCTAATGCGGAAGTTTCCATGAAGAAGAGAGACTCTCTCTCAGCAAAGGATTTCCCATCCTCGGTTGATACAGCAACAAGGTGTCGGAGATCTGATTTGTTACCAATGAGCATGACCACAATATTAGGATCCGTGTGATCTCTCAACTCCCTTAACCACCTTTCAACACTTTCAAATGTGGAATGCCGGGTGACATCATACACAAGCAGTGCTCCCACAGCACCTCGGTAGTAAGCACTAGTGATGGCACGGTACCTAAAGAACCAATGGGATAACATACAATAAAACTTGAAGCAAAACCAAAAAATATCTAACTTGATGGAAATGATACTTCAAGAAGTGAGCAGGTCTAGACAACATGGAAAAAGTCATTTAAATACGAAAGAAACAAATATTAATAATGAACTACACCGGATATGTACATGTGAACTAGAAAACATGTAGTCCATCAAATATTAAATTGGTTCAACCCCCAACGTGGCATCTTCTCTCTCTGTCCACAAAATAAGTGTCATTGCCATCACAGTGGTCACTTAATCTTGACATCAGCTTTAATGACTAGCTTCAATGATCGTTGTCCCACAAACCCACTACCTAAATTCACAATTTTCTGTAACTCACATTTGGAAATGGTCTTTCTCAATTTGATTTACCTATTCATCAACAACCCCAATTTCACTAAAATTCATCAGGAAAAAAGAAGCAGCCAAATTCCACTGAAATTCAATCCATTTAAGCAGCTCCACAACCCACGGCACAAAGATATGAACAGGGAGAGAGATGTCTACCATTTAGAAGATAATATCTTTTCGCAGGTTCAAAAATAATATATTTCTTCAGTTTTTGCTTGGAATATATGGACTTGGGGATGCAATCCATAAAGGGAAACAATGATAAGAGGTACAAAAGCCTTTGCCTTCACCATAGTCAGCCATTGTGTTGGTTGGTCTGAGGTGAGTGGTGGCATGGTGCTCCTGGGTGTTGGTGTCATTGGGTTGAGAGGATGTATATACACAGAGAGAATGAGTACACACACACACACACACACACACACACATGTGTGTGTGTGTGTGTGTAGAGAGAAAGAGGGAGATTGGCCTATTCTGTGTGTGTGTGCAGCATTAATGCATGAAAACTCAGTTTCTGATACATTCATTACTAAATAAAAACAGTCTGTATGTGTCAATGTATTTTCAGAAAACTAAAGGGATGGATGTAGCGTAATTTACCCTAGAACTTAAACTGGGGAGTGAAAGGATTAGAAGGTTCAGGTCTCTATCAATAGCAATCAATATTTCTGGTTGTGAAACAGATCTCTCTGCTTGCACCACCGTGTGTTAGAAATGTATGGGACAATCAAAGCTATCCAAATTAACATCATTCATGGGTCAAATTAACGGTTCAAAATTTATAGCTGTAGTTTCTTTAGGCCGCACCAATCTCTATCCCTACCTCCCTCCCTCCCTAGTGCAAGATTCCTTGACTGAAATCCTATTTCCACTAAATAAATCCACAAATCTAGATTTAGCATAGACCACAACTTTAAAGTTGGGTTCCGGTGTTGAACAAAGACTGCAAACCTACATTTTGGCTTCGTAGAAAACTAAACAGTTCTAGTATTACAGTAATATTCATGTCCACATTACCAGAGATTCTTTGATCTGAAAGATTTAAAGAAATCAAGGTCACTTTGCAGCAACTGTGTATGCTTTTGCATAACTTACTGTTCACCTCTCATTTTAAACTGTTTCATCCTTCTACAGATTCGACCTTCCCTTCAATCAATTGCTCTCTTCTCTTATACTATATTACCAAGCAATCAAGGCTGATGAAACCAGCACAACTACCAAGTATGGGGGAAAAATTCCGCAAAAATCACTGCTCTGACAGTCACAATGTTTGACCAGAGTAAAAACCTCATATCTTTCGTGATTGTGCTCTTACAACAGCACACCCATTTTTTTATTTGATCATAGAACATAGATGGTTTTTACTTATCACCTCTATTCTAGCCCTCAGTTTTTTCAATTTTCTGTTTTCATTATTTGATAAGTATACCTTTAGTCTACAATTCCCAATAAAACACATGTCTCTGGAGGTATAAAAGGTAAATATTTTTGATTTTTTTTATTGTTTATAAAGCTTTCTGGAGAAGATAACAAAAATAAAATACTCTAGGGGAACCAAAAATCTAAAATTTCCAATACATAGGTTATATTCACCACGAACAAACAAGCATGTGCGGGCTCATGTGTGTGTACAAAAATGTGTCAAGCAGGTCTCTTCAACTATTTGTTAACAACACTAAAATATCATCAAGAAAAAGGTATTGCATGGTCCACGAGCAGAACATGTAGCACAAAAAACACAGGATTAATAATATATTTAAGGCAAAATAACACAAGACCACTAGAATTGATATGGTTTTCACCAGTTTCCTGCATCCTTTTTTTTTTTTTTTTT